AAAAATTATTCTAAACAGTGCGATGACCCTCATAATAATTTATGTAAAAAGTAAAGCAAAGTAAAAAAAGTAGTACCCCGACGTAAAAGTAAGTAAAGTAAAGTAAAAAAGTACACCGATGAACATAGCGCTAGAGAACGAACTTTTAAGACGCTTTTATTTTATGATGAAAGGAGAACTATAACATATCATACCGACCCGAGGCTTTGTTCAGAAATGATACGCTTGAAAATTGCGTGTGCTTACTAGTACTAGGAAGTGGAAAATAAAGGCTAGTATTATTTAAAAGAGAATGTTAAATTGAACACTGGTGAAGGGTCCATTTGTGGCCACCTCAATATGAGTTAAAGTCAAAGTTTGAGTTAATTTAACTTTACATTGGGGCTCAAGATGGTTTGCTGTGCTCTAGCTGCTAGCCAGCCGCGAACAGCGTGGCCCAATAGCCGTTGTCACGGTAACTATACTGGATATGATACTTCGTCCGTTTCGGCTAACTTTCTTATAATCATACCTGTAACTATTTCTTCATAGATACTGTATACAATAATTTTAGTTGTCCATGCAAATGTGATGTAAAGAAATATTTCAGCTACTAGAAGCGTTAATTGTTTTCTACCTGAGCAAACTTAGCCGCACTATTGCATACGTTTTTATGTCCCTAATGTTTTTTTTTCATTGTAACTTCAAATGTGGCCGCGAGAGAATCATGAAAAATTGGTGAGGGAGAGGCTGCGTTCGATCCAGGCGACAAATGATGCGACCACGCTTCCGACCTCGACACATGCAGTTGCATCGGGCATCGCTTGACCTTTGAATGATGAGAATGCGACCCCGATTGCACCGTACTATTTAATATTTGTTGAATTCATTTGAAAAACGTGAATTTTCTTTCGATTTTTTTTATTTCTTTATAATTTTTCGTCCGCGGATGTAAAAAGTTTAACGTGTCATTGATAGATAAAATTTCAGCGCCTGTCGGCATTATTCCAGTTAAGTTTAGCCTTTTAATAGTTTGAATAAAATTAGCGAACCATGCTAATCAACAAATCGAAAAATTTTACATTGATATTATGCAGAGTTTTGACTCCGGTACGTACATTATTTGACGTTTGAATTAGTGTCGATGTTTGTCTTATTCAATCTTAACAGTAAAATTGTAATCCCCGAAACAAACTAATTCAGACATCGCAACTAACACAATATGATTCATAAGTTGTCACGCGTTCAAAACGTTGTCATTGAGAATTTGCCAAAATTAAAAAAATCAGCTTGAGGTAAGGAAAAACGCAAAATCAGTTTTTCATAAATCCCCTGAAGCGTTAATTAGTTGATAATATGATACGAATTTATTTTGTTTTTAATAAACAGTACCGAAATTTTTACCTATTTTCCGTCCGTTCTAATCCAAAGACGCATGCATTGCCATCTTTCGCATTGAAAAGTTCGAATGAATTCATACGCCGAAGTGCTTTTGAACAGATGCATCGGAACATTTCGCTCTCACTTCCCTAGATTTTGGAAAATTTTGTGTGTGCCGAGACAAGTTTGACAGTTGACTTGCCAAAGTTGCTCCCTTATGACGCTTCTCTTGATGAGTTCACTCGCCTTCGAACTTGCACAAATTTATCTTTTATTCTTCAGTAAAATTTCTTACAAACTTTCGCATGTTCGAGCAATATAGCTGTTTATTTATCATTAAATACACGTACTCGGTTATAATGGAGTCTATAACATGTTGCAACAAATTGTATTCGTTGTTTTTAATTTTTGGGGGCTCTAATGCTGCATATTTCAACATTTCTTGCAGTGACTCGCTTTTTACTGATCTTTTTACATGATTCGCAATTGAAGGAATTATTTCGTCAGGTTCCATCATTTGATGCTTTTTAGTGAAGCAGTATACTCGTTCATTACTGAGGCACCGAAATTTTTTTGGTATGAATGTAAATTCGAAACCAAATCAAATCAAACGAAAATATAATTGCCTTTGAAATTTAATTATTCAATTTTAATCTCGGAAATGGAATTGCATTTCAAGATTGCTTCGGGTTTTCAGCGTGGGTCTCGAAAAAAAACTACTTGTCAAGGATTTTTTTAGGAATCGTGCTTATAGAAAGCACGCAATTTATTGGTTTTCATTTTTTCATTGCGGACTTGATTTGGCAGTACAATTTATTTTATTACAGAATAGAGACCTTATATTGCTTGGGATATTTTAGTATTGCTGTAGTTTTCGCATTTTATCGTTGAATGTTGGTTGGGTGTAAAATTTTTGGCGATTATGGGTTGCACGCCAGATATATTAACTTTGTGAGGAAACGTGGTGCTATATTCATTACAAGTATATACAGGTAATTTGTCGTTAAGAGTCTCAAGTTATTAGCTCTGACATTACTTTGTTTAATCGCGCTTTATACTATAGCCATAGTTTCGTGATCCATTTCAGAGGTATACGTGATAGTGTGTTAGTATTCGGTTAAAAGTTGAACTGTTGGCCATACGATAAATTGGTTTGATGTCAGGGGTCACTGAAATTTATATTTTCATATTTACATATTTATGAATGAGCCCAGACAACTTGTAGTAGCAAAGTTAGAGTTTGATTAGACTTTCTGACCTTCTTTAATCTTTAGAATGCTTGTTATCTCTTCAACTTCGAAGATATCTAATATCAGCAATGATAACTTTCTCTAGACTGATGACGGGTCATTGAAAGTTTTCTTAAGATCTCACGTGCAGTTCTTATGTTGAAGAAAGTTATCCTCTATGCCTGGTTTAAATTCATGTCATTATACTATACGATCCTACTTCTCAAACTTGGTCCTTCATATCTGCAGAACAATCAATGTTATGGCCGAGATTTCCACCAAAGTTTTTAATGGCTCGTGCGTTCTGAACGAAGCTTGGCGCCGTGATTGAGTTTTGTCTGGCCTTGGTAAATGGTTTGTGTCAGACGTCGGAGTCGAGTTTTGCATTAAAACTTGTCTAGTAACGACCGTCGTAAAAAGTGCAACTGCGATGCTGAAAACCCTGCCACAACCGACCCCTCATCGTTTCGTCTCACGTTGTTTTGCTGTTTTCACGTGATGACTTGTTGGCTGGGTGTAAGTTCTTCGTTGATGGTCCAAGACAATGGTTAGCTGTGCAGACTGCAGAGTGACAATCGTAGATGTGTGAAAAGTCTGTGTCGTGTTTCGCCGCGCGTGTTGTATTGGTTAAAGTTTTCGAAAAATATAGTATTGAATGGGAAAAAAGAGTTTCTGTTATAATTTTGGTAACTTTCAAGGTACATTTCTGCTTTGCCTTCAAACTTTTTCCGACTCCGCTATCTGCAGCTAATTGACCAGTTAAAATTCATTACTAGTTTTTTATTTGCTCTGCGCTCTGGACCCGAGGTTGTTTCTGTCTAGTACGTCTGTTGACATTGGCTTTCTTTAAAATATAGTAAAAAATATAACTGATTTAATTTGATATTATAAATCAATTCTATTAATTGCTTGTAACAATTACTCAATTAGTATGGTATTGCAGCGTCGGCGTTGAAGATTAGGACAAATTTGGCTTGTCATCGATTCTTGTAAGGCTCAAGAGTTGTTACCTTGAGATTTAAAAACAGGCGTTTTGACCAAATTTGTCCCACTGGTCCAAACATCTTGTCCTAGCATACACATAATATTTCAAATCTGTTTTTTAATCTTCCCTGCATAATGCATTCAAACTCAAGTTTGTTCCTAATAGAATAGGTTCTCATTATTGAACCGTGGTTTTCCAATTTCATAACTGTGGGTTCTTGTGTTAGTTCTCGTTTTATATACGAGAAGTCATTCTGAAATCTTCGATAATTTATGAGTATACTCTGTACATCTAAAGTCCACTACAAACACGTCGAAAATACAGGCTTGGAAGCTTCATCAATCGCATGAATGATGAGCTTCCACCTATATCGAAACATTCTTCAATTTTAAATCAGAACAATTCTTCTAATTTACTAGTTTTATTTATTTCATATGATTTTAACTTAAAAAAACCCTTCGTCTCTTTAAGCAAATCATCCGATGGTGCAATTTGCTGCTTTCGAGATTCTCCGGAAATCTCGATCTTAGCAAGTTGGCAAGTCTGCGCTCGTTTGGAAGTTGGACTGAACCACTGAGTTGGATAATCGAATGACACTTACTTTGTGAAAACTGCCTCATCTCGTTGTAGGCAGAGGATCTTATATCGATCTTTCTCCATATATCATCTCAAAGTGTCCTCGATAGCATAAAACTCGTTGCAGGCTTCGCTTCTCCTTGATATCATTCCTGAAATGTATTGTAGGTTAATCTTACAAACTTGATCGTAAAACTAAATACGTTTATTGCTCGGAATACGTTAATGGATTTTTCGTTTTCAAGTGCTGTAGTCGACTTGAACATACGTCAAATTTTTACATGTGTAGTCGGAATATTTTACATTATATAATTCAATTTATAGTTATTTTCTCATTTCTGATGCTAATTCAGCAATTTACTTGCTGGTGCTAATAAATTATGACTCAGCTGATTCCAGAGATGGCGCTGACATCAAATCATATCAAATCATCAAATTTTCTATATCGGACGAGCAACTTGCATTATTTGTGTTTTTTTTCGATCTGTTAAATTTTAAAAATTCTATCCTATTTCTCGTTTACTGAACATCACCCTTTGCATATTAGTAATTTTTTTCGTTGGATGAAGCATTTAAATTTTCAATTTTAACTTTTGCAATTACTTTTTTTCATAATTATTCATGTATAATTATCAAGCTCAAATTATCAAAATATTCTGGTGTATTTTAACTGAGTTTCATTAACCACGTAAAATATCAATGTTGCATAAAAAGCGTGATGAATTGCCACAGTTTATTTTTCACAATTGAGTGAAAGATAGCCTCGAATCTCGATGAAAGATTTCGTTTCTACTTTTTAATTTTGATTTTGTAATTTTCTAAACGAACTGAATTGTTTTTTGTTTGTGCAGGAGTCGCAGACGGTGTTGGAGGATGGCGCGCGTGGGGTATCGACCCTGGCGAGTTTAGTAGCACTCTCATGCAGAGCTGTGAGCGACTCGTCTCCACAGGCTCCTTCTGCCCCACAGCTCCAGCCAGCCTCCTAGCCAAGGCTTACAGCGAACTCGAACTCACCAAGAAACATATACTCGGTCAGTGACGCGCGTGGTCTACTGAAGGATCTCTATCTGAACCTTGCTAGATCTTTCTGATAGGCCGATCACTTATTACCTTGTGTTTGATACCAATAAGATTGTAAAGCTTTCTAATCACAAATATTCACATTGACTCGAGGTTTAGGAGCTTTCAAATGACTAGAGAAAGAAGGCGACATTCACTGTCAAGTTACAAAATCTTATCGGCAACTGAAGGGGGCATTCTTATCTTTTACCCCTATTAAATATTTCCACTATTGAATATTCACCCCTACCTAAAAAACGGTCAATGAATAGCACACAATTCAAATTATCAGCATGTTAGAAACGTAATGTAACTTATGTCAATAGTCTTACTTCAAAAATTCTTCTCAATTATAAATTATCTGCATGTTAGAAATGTAAAGTAACTTATGTCAATAGACTTACTTCAAAAATTCTTCTCAATTATAATAATAATTATGCAATAATGCCTCAGAAAGTTATTAATCATTAATACTATATTGCCTCCTAGCATCATTAAGCCATTCATCCCGAATTTGATATGTAATTCCTAAATTTATTTTATTTTGAATTACATGAATATAATTGTTTATCTTTCAGAAGCTAAAAACTGTCATGTAGAATGTTCTTATATTGGTTAGGGAGCAGCACCGCCTGCCTTGTGATGCTACGAGGTCACCTCGCCACCAATAACTCCGTCAGCAGCAGCGACGCTTTTCACCACAACGAGACTGAACGAAAAGACTGCGAAGAATTCCAGAGCGATGAGACTGCGTCGGGTGTTCTCAGCTCAGCCAACATCGGGGACTCGGGGTATGTCGTATGGGGTGAATTTGAATCAAGATGTGGTGAGTGCTGAGAGAGGTTGTTGCTGATACGAGAGGTATGGAATGTCTCGGGGTATGTCGTATGGGGTCATCGGGGACTCGGGGTATGTCGTATGGGGTGAAATAGAGTCGAGATGTGGTGATTGCTTAGAGAGGTTGTTGCTGATACGAGAGGTATGGAGTGTCTCGGGGTATGTCTTATGGGGTGAATTTGAATCAAGATCTGGCGAGTGCTGAGAGAGGTTGTTGCTGATACGAGAGGTATGGAGTGTCGTCACATAATATTAAAATCGTGTCCTTCAGTTTAGTTCTATCGTAAAATTAAATTCAGTTTCTTTACTTTGAATTCTCCACAATATTCGATTTTAGCGAGTTGAGTTTTGTCCATCAAATGGGATGTTTATCATTTAAATATCCCACGACAGATATTTTTTTAGATATCACGTCGTGTCAAGTTACGTATATTAAATGTTAAGAGGTAGATTTAGTAACCGAGACACAAGTTCATGTGCGGCGGTAAGGTCATGATGCGAACGAAATATCCATCTTTGCGTGACATCAGCAGGCTAGTTGATAACTGTCTTGAGCTGGTTAAGTTGTGTTAAGATATCAACTAATTTTATTGTGTGCTCGACTTATCAAGTATAGCTACTGAATCTTATGGAACTAGTTACATTTTCATTGTCGGCGGAAATCTACTAAAACTCCATGCAGCTGAAGAATAATTAATAGTATCCTATGCACATTTTTTGTTTTGTTTTGTCTGCATAATCTTCATTGGTTTTCAATTCATGTGTTGGTATTTTGACCAATTTCATTCATTCGTCTTATTATTGCAAATATGAAGAAATTAGAAGGAAAATATTTTATGAAATGTTTAAAATTTCTGCTATTTTTGCATCAAACAACTATTGGATTATTTTTTCGTCTTTTCTTGCTGTTACTAACTAATATAACAATTTCGTCTGTTTCTAGATTACTGAGAGTTGTTTGTTCGTCAGATACCTGGTGGTGAGAGGAGGTCACGTGGTGCACCGCAGCCACGAGCAGCAGCACTACTTCAACACGCCCTTCCAGCTGTCCATGCCGCCTCCTGGCACGTCTGGACACGTGCTCAGTGACAGGTGCGTCTGCTCTCAACTGCTTACAAATTCTCAGAATATTACAAGTATACGCTAAAAAATATTCAGAAGACAGGTGCGTCTGCTCTCAACTTCTTACAAATTCTCAGAATATTACAAGTATACGTTAAAAAATATTCAGAAGACAGGTGCGTCTGCTCTCAATTTCATACAAATGCTCAGAATATTCTTCCTTAACAAATATTCGGAACCTAAGCAATACGATAAAATTGTTAGCAATATTTTTATTCACGATTTTGCTCCTTGCCTAATCGAGTTATAGTTCATTTTTTATTATTATCAGAAAATTGTGTTTCAAGAAATCGAATGTTTTCTAGATCCTGATTAGTGTGACAGAAAAAAACGTATTGACTAACGCGCGTGAATTTTGTTATTATTTGCAATTGGAATTGTTTGACTAGTCGCTGATTTGTTCGTAATTTTTCCGTCGATATTCACACGATCGACAACATAGGGTAACATGGGGCAGCGGCCCCCCCCCCCCTCTTTTTTAAACTAAATTTTTGATGAAGTTTTAATTGATACAAGGTGGTTCTTTGTTTTGTTTAAAGGTACAACTAATGAGGAATGTAAGATGTGAATTAGACGCCTATATGTTTATTCAATTTTTAATGAAACACTATTTGTAAAAAGTGTCAAAATGGGCCCGTTGCCCCACCCCTGGGGCAATTGGCCCATGGGCTTGGGGCAAGGCGCCCACCCTTGGTCCCTTTACCACAACTGCATATTTTTCGCTTAAAATTGATAAAAGAATACTTTACAGTTAAAAATGAGAAAAATGTAAAAAATGACATTCATTCATTTATTAACAACTCAAAAAATCATATCCTTCACTTGAAAAAAATATACTCTTGGCTTGGAAAATCTATCACTGACGTGAAGAAAAATATTTCATTGAGATAAAAATATATATCCTTGAATTGAAAAATATATCCTTGCGACAAAAAAATTAGTCCTTGACATGAAAAAATGTATCCTTGACTAGAAAAAATATATTTAGTTGATCAGAAAAAAACTTCGTTCTAGTTTCGTCCATAATCCAGATATTATGTGCAGAGAATTCGTACCTAATCGTAATTTCAGCCAACACCATAAAAACTCATCAACTTTTGGCTCATTGGTATTGACTGAAATCAACTTTTGGCAAGGTAAGAGTCAATAACTCGATAAGGGGTCATAAATACGCATAACTAGAAACTAAACCTGCTGCCTTGAGGCGGCAAATAAAAAAATCATGCAATATGAAGTGTAATTTGTAACTCAAGAAGCTAGTCATAGTTTTGTAGAGCGCATTGAGAGTTTCCAAAGCTTCATCTACAGTAATCGAAAACAGTTTCATTTAGCAGCAAAAAAACTTTTATCTGGACAAAAACAGTTATTCACAAATAACTTAATAACGCAAACTCTTAGCAAAACGTAAATCCGTACACTTCATCCCAGTGAAACTGTCGACCGGCGGTAGAGAACACGGACCAATATCTGTCATACTTAGCGAGAAACTCGCTATGGGCCCATGACCCGCTGTGGGCTCGCTGCCCCATGTTACCCTACCTGTTTTTACCTTCACCTGCTTAACTATGATATGCTTATATCTTATGATAGATGTTCTTCAGTCAGTTGTTATCACTTGCAGATTTTTTCGTCGTCTGCGACACACAGAAGATTTTAAATACGGTATATCATTACTGCTATAAGCAAATGTCAGTAATGAACAAATTCGCGATCTATTGAGATTTACCAAGTTTTATAATTTTTCCAACTTATAGTCCGGCAAGTGCGGACAGTCGGGAGTTTGAAGTTGAGGCTGGAGACTTACTCCTGGTGGCTACGGACGGCGTCTTCGACAACCTGCCTGTGCCGTGCATCCTGCAGCTGCTACAGACCGTCCAGGGCACCAGCGAACTGTCGGAGCTGCAGTCAGCGGCCAACCGCATCGCTCAGCAGGCGCGTCTGCACGCCTTCGATGAGGACTACATGTCACCCTTCGCGCTCAACGCCAGACAAAACGGCATCAACACGAGAGGTTTGCTCTCCATTCATTAAAATCTAAGCGAACAGTAACTTATTGCCTGTTTTTTCTATTTGTGATATAATGTTATATAAATTAATTGTCGTTAAGCTGATCAAACCTAATTTGAATTCAAGTGATTGCCTTTTGTTAGAGTTTATTCAAACTCACAACTATGTGAGGAAATAGAACAATTACCTCAGAAATTCCTCATGTTCTTTTATACATGAAAGATTGAAATTAATCTGTGAATAACATAGTAGCTTAGCTGTGTTCAAATAACAAAAATATTCTTGTTTGATTGTCTCAATCAATTATTGTATCTTTCCCTGTAATTGCACAAGAAAATTCTCCTAACAATCGTGACGTAATTTACTGCTAAACGACAAAGATACTCGATAATGACTTACACAAGACTTGTGTGATGACACACGCAGCAAGAATTCTATGACCCAATATTTCTTTGGTTTCTTAGAATTTAACTTATGAATTTTCTTCGTATCGTGTTTTTAATTCATTACAATTCAATAAATTTCAGGTGGGAAGCCAGACGATATCACGGTCGTGTTGGCTGCGGTGCTTGGCTCCGTCTGACGAGGCTTTGAGTGAGATCATCTGTCCCCGTGTACATTTCCTGGACCCTTTAAACGAGCTCTACGTATCGGGCTTTTAGTCGAACTGAGAAAATACTTAAAAGGAATTCCTTGACAACTGCTGCTACCTAAATGGACTGATAGTGAAAATGTATAGGAACGTTTCTTTTTAGATATTCATGATCCTTGCCATGCACAGCGAAGATATTGCTTGCGCTCATACTGTTTGAGACTCGTTGTGGTAAGTTTATTTCCGTTCATTGAGCTTATCCTCAATGAAAGGAATCTATCGTTTCATCACAAATGTTAGCTTTTTTTATTATGTGCAATTGCGCTCGGTAACTATATAATTACGTTAATCAACGTGGCGTTGGGCGAATGAACAAAAAATTGATTTTTTCATGTTTTTTCTTTGGCGATCATCGCCAAGCATTACAAAACTGTGCTGAATTAACGGTCGAGTTGATTAAGTTTTTAAATTAATTCTTTCATTTCATTCCCTTTTCTCTCGACAATCATTGTTTCAATTGACAAAATGCGTAATTATAAATAAAGTTCTGTACCTCGTTTGAAATGTCACAGATAGAACGTAAATCAAGTTAGTCTAGTCTATTGTAATGAAACCAAGCTCTGAGGAGGAAGTCGTGACTGTCATGTGCCCGAGACCGACACTGGATGTACAAATAACGTCGCGCTCAAGTTCATGACAGCCACATTCAGTGAACTCCAATTGGAGACTGCCCTATTCTTTTATTTAAATTTCATAAGTTTATGGTATTCAGTCCTTGATTTGAAGTCTGGTTGCTAGTCTGCTGAAAAGACCATCACGCGACTATTCGCGAAGTACGAGACTTGGGATCACAATTATTAATTGAGTCAAGGGATTTTATATTTCTATTGAACTATAGAAAATTTCACGGCAGCGATTTTGTGATTAAAAACCTACGCGCCGGAATTATTACCATTTCCAGTCTCCATTCAGAGGTTTTATACGCCCTCATTTCCGGCAATCTCTGTGATTGCTATGATATTTTTGTTACAAGTTAATTTAATACTTCTGTGTTGTGAAAGTAACTGTGCTCAGTTGTGGAACATCGTTTAGTCTTATGTCAGACTCGTAGATCGTAGCTATTTGATGGCGTTATTTTTTGTGTCATATGATCGTCGAAAGATGTACATAAGAGAATGTAAATAAAGTTGATCGTAACTAATATCAAATCAGTCTCCTCTCGTTTGAAACTGACGTCACTTATAAGTTATGGTTTCAATTCGAGTGATACACGTTATAAACGAGACCGTAATAGTTTATTCATAAAAAATACATGCTCTTACTAATCGTAACACAATTGTTTGTTGAAATGTGATATTTACAGTGACAACCTTAATGAAATACGTGCTGACCCATGAAGGGAAGTAAGGCTTTACAGGAACACGAGACACCTCGCTTTGTTAAAAACCAATTCCCAACAGGCACTTGAATTGGACTTCACGCAGAGTGGGTTTGTGGCAGAACAGCTGGAATCTTTACTAGAACGTAAACATTCTGCCGCACTGCGCTATAGTTTAGAAGAAATTATTCAAACTAAACAGTTCCGTTTTGTAACAGTTAAGAACTACTGAATGACCACGACGTGACATAGACAAGAAATGTTCCAGGTACACAATATAGACACTGGAACGCCTGGCACAAAGAATTTCCACATTGAATGCCAATGAACACGTTCATAACCACAGCCATTTTATCCAGATGCAGACATTCGTGCAATCACGCAGGATTAAAATGATACAAATATCCACAAAAATATACAAACTAAGCGAAGTTTCGCATGGTACCGGATTGATGAGTTGAAAGATTTCCTACTGCTCACAATGAAATTAAAGTTACAGAGGTGGAGAAAATATAACAGTTTATATGACTCGGCAAGACTTATGCTGCCGTGATATCGAGAGACTCAATTTCTTGACCATCTTTCAGGAAGCTAGGGCTATGAAGAAAGAGTACAGAATGCAAAATTTTTTGCGAGATGAGCTATTCCACGAGAAAATAAGCTGAACCCCAAAAGTAACGCCAGGAAGTTAGGAGCAAACTAGGTATATATACATGATGAGCAACAGAAGCGGCAACTCGGAAAGAAATCACCAAAGTGTTCGAATTTCACCGCATTAGGTAAAGCGAAATTTGTTTATAGGCAAATCCCATTCTTGTTTCTGTGTGATCTTAGAAAAAGTGAATAATCAATCGGCATTCTATTTCGAGGTGTTTTGACGAACGTATTTTAACATGCGACAAGGTGACAAAAATTGCTAACGACATGAATAAAAATAGCCACCCAAATTAAGACAAACTGGCAAACACAATTAACTGATAACTTGGTCACTCAGCACATAATTGCAACAGCGAACAACACAGCTTCCGCTTATGTGATTTCATGAAATACTGAAAAACGGTTATTTTATGTAGCCTGTACATGCTTCCGCTTATGTGATTTCATGCAATACTGAAAAACGGTTATTTTATGTAGCCTGTACATAAGATAATAAATGGTAACAATAACAACGATTTAAATGTACAATAAAGTCAAAGGAACTGTTTTAAGTACAGCTCTATTTCTGAACTCATAACGAAATAAACTTGAACTCGAACTGGATAATTAGTTTTATTTCCGATCGCCAAATCAAACGAAATTGATGTTCAAGATTCAAATTTTACATGTAAAATTTTGCAAGGAAAGATGGGGCAAAAAGTTTTTCGCAATTATCTCATAGCACAATACTAGGAGCGATAAAGAATAATGGCACCATCTACTTACAATGTCAAGTTACTTTGAGACCGAGGGTCTCTCAAGATGACTTCTAAACTCAACCGGAACAACAAAAATAATAACACGAATATAATCACTACCATAGCAGACCAGCCTTGGTACTGACGTGTAAGGGAAATTCATAAATTATCAAATGCTTTTAAAGTGGAAACAATCAACAATGAACGAACAGCATCGCCATGCAACTACCGAGTATTTCATCCAACAACAATCAAACAAAGAACGAGACTAATTAAAAATGTAAATCGAAAACAATTTATCTTTCAAGAAACTCTACATTGACAGACAATTGCTGGCTGAAAACTATTATCCAATCCAATGATCATCACTATTGTTTTGAGAGTAAATGTATGTTTATGAAGCATAAACTTCAAATTAAATTCTCAGTCCTTACTAATCAATTCTCATAAGAGCGCACCTTAGTCGTATAGGAGCATTGTACCTTCAGGTTTAGTGTTCACTAAAACTAAAATAAAGCTCAACCATGAATTTAATCAACACGAAATAAACATCAAGAAATTATCATTAGGTTTATAATGATATTAAATTTCCATCAGAAAACCTGAGCGAATTGAAATTTCTCAACAAGATTTCACATCAGCGGAATATGAAAATTTCCGAGGGTTTTTGGGAGTCACTAAAGGAATATCTAATTGAGCTCAAAAACCAATATCACTAAAAATCACATGAAAATTTCCAACCAGAATTCAATTGGCGTTGAAATGAAGTTGATTGAATATTGTTCTAACAAAATCAACTCATTGTCAAATGCAACTTCTGGTGAAAGTTAGGTTGTTATTGGAAAAATGTTATGGCAATTAACTGAAGCATTCTTGTAAGGAAGTCATTACGTGTCGTTCGAAGCATAACCAGGCAACGAAAATTAACTTTCAGGCGATGAAAGTATGTTAGAAAACATTGAGCAGCACACAACGAAGTCTCGAGACGCTGAAACTTCAGCGCCCCAAGCCACTGAGGCAACACTCAGCTGCTCTGGCAATACAAAGCTTTCAAGGTCTTGAGTTCTTCTATCAATGCCTTATTCTGGTTCTCTAACACAGCAACGCGATTCTCCAGGCACTTTATATATTCCTTTTTCTTAGCTCTACATTCTCGGGCTGCTTCTCTGTGAGAGAGAGAAATGAAACGTGTAATTAAAACGGAGAACAATTTTTTACCTTTAGATTTGTAAACCATAAAAATAGAATCAATGACTTATATAGAAATTATATAATTTAATCCAATACATCAAGACTTGAACGATCACAATAATCTGAGCTGCAGTTGGTCTCATTACGATTATATCATGTTAATTTTCCTCTATCTATTGTTCCATTTCTGACTATTTGACCGTTATCAATCCACCTAAATTCAAATTAGACATTTCCGCGCACATATTTCAGCAATATTTTTATATTTATCGTTGATTATAATCCCTCACCTGTTCTTCATTAGTCTAACTTCTCTTTTCCTATTAGCCTCCTCGCCCATTGCGTCGGTACCGTGAAGAGAATTAGAAGTGGTGGTCGGGGCGGCAGCTGCGGCGGCCAAAACAACTCCTTGAGTCAGGCCACTGCCGTCGCTAAACTTAAGCCCGCTCAACGTACCGCCACCAACTGATGACAACGGTAACTTAGAAACTGTTTGAGCGTCCAGCCAACCGCTAACTGTGAACATCAGCAACTTATAAATCAGGAAAATAAATGTACAAAGCAAGTTACGGATTATTCTAAAACATTGGGAGCAGAATTGAATAATTCATTGAAGAGTCGTTATTTCTTACCGATAAGGAGCCCATGAACCCAGCTAGAAGATACAAAAACAATAGCTGACAAGATAGAACTATATATTTCCTGCAGTTTTGAATTTATTCCCAATAGCTTTGAAAGATTCGGAAAATGAGTAAGCATATCCCGACTGTTCTTAGACAATAAATTCCCCTCACCCCACTGCTGAGAGAATAATTCCACTTCTACTTAAGGAATGGCATGATGAATCGCAGCACGAATCTTTCCGGACAAAATATATACAGCTATCCTGTCGAAATGTATCGTGATTATCGGTTGATCGAATTTGTTATATTGCTAATTCCATGTTGACGCACCTGGAACAATAAATTGAGTGTCAGAGCCCGTGTACTGCACGATCGTGCCTTGTGATGAGGCGCTACTCATCGCCAGCGTCTGCAGGGCGTCCGCACCGCTGGTCGCCAGCTGTAGGCTGCTCGCTGGAATGACTGTAAACAATCCGAGCATTTATGCACAAGTCAGCAGTAGCGAATGAAAAGCTAAATATGAGATAACAAATAGAATGAATATTCTCAGAGAATATTCATTCTCTGAATATGAGAATGTTAAGACTAACACAATTTTTAAATAAGATTCAGAATCTAGAAGCAAATTCACGAGCATCATAGATAAATAATTAAATTCGTGGTGTGAAGTAGCATTAAACAAGGAAAATATAGGCCTCTTATAAAGTCTCTTTACCTTGCACAATGTCATCAAACCTCAAATCTCACATATCATCCAAATCTACGTCAATTAGAATGAATGCTTTTGTAGAAACTACTAACAAGCAGACAAGGAACCCTAAACACAACATTCTACTACTTAATTCTTCGAATTAACAATGACCAATAGGTATCTCATCATTCTATGGAAGAACAAAGTCAGAAAAGAATCACAGTTGCAAATTATTTGCAATGTAATGGGGACAGGTTCAATTTTCCAGCCATCTACAATTTGTGTTTGCAGGTTTTAAGAGCGAGAAGTTTTTCTCTAAACTGAAATTCATCAGAATCCGAAAACTTTTCAATTATATATCAGAAACTTATATGTAAAAATATTTTCGTTACCTATATACTATCACTAAACATTGAATTGTCATTTGAAATGCCAATTTTTAAAATTTATTATGAGATATTGAGCAATGAATAAAACTCTGATACAAGAACTTCTAAGTTGGTAAAATATTCAAAACTAGATGAAATCTGAGAAATGGAAAAATAACAAGCGTCCTAAGAAGATTCTGTGAGAAATTCCAGGACTCTCTAGAGTCACTAGAAATTAGTTTGATGTAGCATTTTGTATTACAGTACCGAATGATGTAAGCTAAATCGCTGGTCACCTTCCAAAAGGTTTGAGAAATATACATGAAAAAAAGTTTCGTTTTGTTGTTTGTTGTACAGTAACAAATGATGCAAGCTAAATAGCTGATCACCTTTCAAAATTGTTTGAGACATGTATATGAAAGTAGCTCAAAGTTGCGTTTTGTTGTACAGTAACAGTACTTACAGTAAGTAAGTTGAATGTAAGCTAATAGCTGGTCACCTTTCAAAAGTGTGAGACATGTAAAATAGCTTGAAGTTGCGGTTTGTTGTACAGTAACAAATGATGTAAGCTAAATAGCTGGTCACCTTTCAAAAGTGTGAGACATGTAAAATGGCTTGAAGTTGCGTTTTGTTGTACAGTAATAAACGATGTAAGCTAATAGCTGGTCACATTTCAAAAGTGTGAGACATGTAAAATAGCTTAAAGTTGCGTTTTGTTGTACAGTAATAAACGATGCAAGCTAAATAGCTGGTCACCTTTCAAAAGTGTGAGACATGTAAAATAGCTTAAAGTTTCGTTTTGTTGTACAGCAACAAACGATGTAAGCTAATAGCTGGTCACCTTTCAAGATTGTTTGAGACATGTAAAATAGCTTAAAGTTTCGTTTTGTTGTACAGTAACAAATGATGTAAGCTAAATAGCTGGTCACCTTTCAAGAGGCTGGCGGTGGAGTACTCCTGTCCCCCGATAGTAAGCGTGGTGGTCGGCAGGCTGCTCTCGTGACACCCGTCTCCGCCTGATGATCCCACACCGCCACCGCCTTCGTTTCGGTCTGAAACCAACAAAATCCTTAGATAGTCATAATGCTAACAACATATATGGTTTTATAGTCATTTTATAGGTGCACAATTATAGTGAAGCTATAAATTACCAACAGTCATTCTCCCTTTAATCCATGCTGACCGAGATCAACATAAATGACATCAGTGAATACCAGCCAGCACAAAATATACTACAAACCCCAACTCAAAGTAAAAAAAACAACAGGGGGGTGTAGTAGTGATAGTCCAATTGCAATTTGTGCCAATTCATCAAAAGCTCAGCAAATTGTCACCCAAAGTGTAGGTATACAATTTCGTAGTAAGCAAGAGTTATAAATTTGATGATCTAAATTCGCATGATGATCTAAATTCCCAACGGTTGAGAAATAAAATGCTGTGAATCATTCGGTTATAGCTAAAGTTGCAATCTAACTATTCAAAACAATTCATTTCAGACAGCCTGAGTAGGTACTGAGAGGAGATGGGAAGGTGTGGCCAATAGAGCCAACATGAGTGTGAGATTAAACACAGCATTTTGTTGCATATTGCAAGACAGTACCTAATTTTGGTATTATTGCAGATTAAGTACATCCAAAAAAAAGGGTGTTTTTTTTTTAAATTATATGTTTTTTGGGGTGTAGATTACGAATCTGAAATCCATTTTTGGCGGTCGGCATCGGAAATTTTTAATGGAACCTGTTCCTAACTGGACCTAACCTGCGAGGTTTCGTTGATTGGCTAACAGGTTCCATTAAAAATTTCCGATGCCGACCGCCAAAAACGGATTTCAGATTCGTAATCTACACCCCAAAAAACATATAATTCAAAAAAAAAAAAACACCCTTTTTTTTGGATGTACTTAATCTGCAATAATACCCTAATTTTTTGCTGAGGCAGCTCAGCTCTTAAACATTTTTGAAATATTTGAGATCTAAATTTTCTAATCAAATAAAATAGGGTTTTCTTATAAACCATAACAAATGTAAAAACACCTATAGTACAAACATTGATAAATAGCATGGAGCCTAATGTTTCTGTAATAATCGATGAAATTTATAACGAACTGGCCACACACAAATGAATTTTATTATCGATATTCTAGAAATTATGTGATGGGTATGCTCATCGGCAAGTACCTACACTTCCTAACAGTTTCACAAACCTCTCATCACAGCGAAGACAAGTCAATACTTCGAGTAGACTTATTGCAGGGCGAGTAATTCCGTGACGAATTCACTGAATAACTGCCACTGGGATCATATCGGGCGGAATTCCTATCAGGCCAGCCTGCTCCGTTCTGGACTAAGTAGAACTTCAGTAATCTACCTGCTGTAATTTTGAAAACTTATACGTTTCACGCGGGAAGTGAAGCGAATTGTTCAAAACAAATGAGTGAGAATAATAGCAGGAGCAAATAAATATCACGAAACACCTTTTGAACAAGTACCACCAAATTTGAACTTTTCAAGAAGAGCGCCACACCAACACATGCTTCCCAAACGAACGCATTAGCCAGACTGAAAAGGTATACCCGCGGTCAGTCTGAAGACGGAGCAAAAACGCACCATCGATTCTTGAAAAACGTCTATGGAAGCAGACACGTGGGCATGGAAGCCATGCAAGGGAACCTAACTCCTACCATGAGCGAAACCTAATGGTCGCAGTAAACTATTGGAACTTTAGAAAAAGAAGCGAGAGTACTTATTGGGTCAATATTTATTGATTGTATTTGTTTTTAAATTATTAACCAAACAAACTTCTTAATTCCTTATCGTTCTTTCCAAGTAGTTATACTCTTTTTGCTGACAGCCGAGAGAAACTTTTCTCTTGAGCACCACACAAGGTAAAAGCTATGAGTTGCACAATATATTAATATCAATAGCTACGCTTAAAAAAATTCCATGTAGCCAAAACCGTGTTAACAATAATAAACAAATTGTATGCAAGCTTGACATTCAGGAGACAACTGAAGTTTAGCATTACAGTGCTAGTCAAAGGACGGGAAATTAAAGTTCCTACAGTTGGATTTATATCAAAACCGGGTAAAACAAAACAACGACAGGTCCTTCACACAGCAGTGATCTGCTGGCTTCATATCCTCGTTTCTTCGCAATACATTTACCAACAAGAAATTACTATGACTTTTTGCAGCAAGTTTTTCATATAGCCTCATCAATTGACCTCATGGTAAATGCAGAAGTCAATTTTGATTCTTTTTTGTTGGTCGTACATCACAGTTATTACTTACAAACGTTTCAACTTTCAACATTGAGGTTGGCTACGACCAACTACGTTAATCTTATGATTCTTATCCTTATAAAAATACATAACACTGCACGAGCAGTGAACAAAACTCACCAGATAGTTCAGTTCCGCCGAGGTCGTTGAGGATTTTTCGATATGAAGGTCTTCTGACGAGTATTTGTCTCTGTTGTTTACGTCCCGTGTCGAGGTCGTCTCCGCTCTCAGCGCTAACAACCTGATTTGCACCAAACTTCACATGAGCAAATCATTATTACTGCGTAATTATTATTTTAAAATCATAATCACGTATTACTGCGCTCGGACGGGTTACATATCATCGAGTGGAAAAACCCTGATCGAAATGATGCAGAATAACTATGAATCTGAGTTAAGTTAAGAAGACCATATTGGTTGGAATTGAACGGAAAACAGAATTGTCTTCCAAACGTAAGAAAATTTATTGTTAGGACACTTTGGCAGCCGGTTCTATCAATAGTAACTAATCAAGGACAGATCACGCGCCTTACTCAACTCTCACTTTATACTGGCATTCTTACGTGGACTTCCTGCAAGCTGTGCTGCCCTGAAGCCGACTGTATGACGGAGTTCGGAGAACCTTTGAACAGCAGCACGCCACCCTTGCCAACTTGCACGGTCTGAAGGGCGGTGCTCTGGATCACACTCGCTTGGTTCTGCTGGATCACGCTCTGAGCCTGCACATGTCAAGCACGGCATGAGCAGTGATAATTTCTCGGTGCTGCCTTCGTGCAAACATCAAACATATAAAAATTAGGGCATTAGATGAAAATTAAGGAAGAAATATATTGAATGAACAATGCTTGTATGAAGGACACAAATAAATGAAGATGAAACTTTAAGCAGAAGACGTGAAAAATTTTTATTATCGACAAATCAAATTTTTAGGTACCAGAAATACTACGTGAATTTTCGGAAAATGATTTTGGGCTATCCAAATCAGGATATCACTTCGGTAGAAGATATGAAGAATTCCCACGGAATAGGTATTATATGCACTGCAAATAAACAAATAGAACTAATGTTAAGCAGTAGTTCTTCAACTGCGAATATGACGAGTTTCAAGACTAGAAGCATAACCTTCTATTGGAAAATCCCAGTTAGCAATGGTCTCTAATATGACAGTCTCATAAATGACATTGAACATGGATCCCGAGTTATTAACGTGCCTCTGAAAAAAAAAAACAATCTTAATGCAAGAAAGTGTAAGGCCATATTAGTGAAGCGACTCATGAATGGCCGCCATAAAGTGAAGTATAAGGAGTGATCATTACGAAATAAAGTGACTATAGCACTTGAAAATTAGACTTACACAGACAACGAAGTCTATTTTGTAGAGGAGCAGAATCCAAAGAGCTGTAACTTAAACGTAGTAGCAAAAACAAGGCTTATTAATTTCGAAAGTCTTAATAATTTCGAAAGGCTCTACATAAAAACTTTTTCACTGTGAAAATAATAAAACGTGGTTAGACAAGAAGCTTATTAAAGAAAATTAAACAGAAAAAGGCTGGCCTAAAAGTTCAAAACTAAAAATATAAATAAATAAAACACTAATCAATTATACAATCAATCAGTTGGTTTTGAAGCTCTTCCACTTTTTGCGGCAAACGACTGACCAGTTTTTGTATCACATCTAATGACAAAGTATAAAAATAAAATATATTACAATTTATACTTTATCCGGAGAAATTATAATCAAGAAATGACCTGAATCACACCTGGCATGATCGGCTAGACACGTTGGTCTCATCAATACGCTTCATCACTTTCAATATCATCAATACCAGGATAAATGAACTTAGGAGGTCTCCTAAACATTACATTCTTTCAACGTTGTACGACTTTTTGCGACACTTTCCAGATGAAATTTCGTGATGCCTCAACAGTGTGAGGAGATTGAGTATAATTTTGGTTTTAGAATTAGGCGGCAGAATGCTATGACAGCATACCATTCAACAGAGATGATTCAGTTGTATCGATTCAGCATTCCAGAGACTAATAAAAGTTCCAAAAAGTAAATGGGAATTACTTTATACTTTTACCATTACAAACAGTACCGGTACGTAATCGACTATGCTTATTCTAATAGATACAGTAAATCTTCTGTAGCCAAGATACAGTTCCAATTCCAATTTTTCACAGGTCCTCACAGAAACTCAAGCTGAAAACTTCGATCTCTTATTTTATTTTATGAAATTTTTGTTTGAATTCAGTGCTTCTTGCAGACAAGTGATACCCGGCACAGCACACACATGTCGCTATGACACAACCGTATAAAGCACTTCCTCGTATGCCTGACTCGGCTCATTACGTCAACATGCCTACAACATATATCATCGAAACTAACAATCACCTAAACACAAAAAGAATCGATATAAGCAATACCTTTAGTGTACCTAGCCGGTCAGATAGCTAATTCGTGATTTCCATGACAATGTATCAATCATAGAGGCAATAACTGACAATATCAATATGTAACTCTGCTCTGGCACTTAATTTGGATGTCAGGAATTTCAGCTAGAAATCAAATTCGTTCCATACATTGACATAATACCTTTGTAACTTTACTCCATGGAAGTTGATGACACACAATAGAATAGTTATTCGCTCATTATGGCCTTGTTATGAATTCTATTAGCAACGCATGAACACGTGACACCTGAGACGCGGCACCGCAGCTAAAAATAATCTTCGCACGAGCACATTCATATCTCTTATACGATACGTATTACACAGTCACTGTACAATGTTCAATAAACTTTTCCATTAAATCCACGCACAGCCTAAATTGGTCTCTGCTTGCAAGAGCATCTAACACACGCGTCGATGTGAGAAGCCTCACAACCGCAGCATACACACACCACCTACCGCCACCACCGCGCACACCGACTGCTGCTAACACCAAGTTATGGTCTAGCCAACGAGGCTATGACGTTGCCAACAGACGGCCTGTGTGCACACGCGTGTAGGTGAGTGTATACGTCATCTTGCAGCACATGCTTCACGCACACGGCATACAAACAGTACGTACCGTAGCATATCTCCATCCGGTACACTTTCGATGTTTCTTTGCAAGTTCAACAATCTGGAGCATTACATGGTTTCCATCATGTAATTAACGCACATTTAGATAATGAAGTTCACTAAACAACACGCTACGTTCGACAACAACACATGCGCTATTTAACCGTCAAACAAACATCGGCGTTTATTAAAGTCAGAATTATTTTGATTGAAGATTCTTGATTCCAATTGTTCGAGGGACATGCCAGCACTTGGCACGCTGGCCCGAAACTGTAAGAAGTTGTAAAATTTGAGCACCCCGGAGTTCATTATAACAAGTCTCGTCCTAGAAAAGAGATGATGAGAGAAAAAAATAGAAATAGAATAAAAAAATAGATATAAAACTAGAAATCAGGCAAGCATGATGGTAAGGAATAGTAGGAAAATACACATCAAGGAGTAGGGATCGCGGCGAGCGCACACGGCAGCAGGAGCATAAGACAGGCAAGATGCCCACACGTACGCCCGCCCCACAGCGGAACGCGGCAACCGCTTGGCACTTGGCAGTCCCTATGACGTCATCCACGTCCGAGCGAAGCTGCATCACGAACACTAGAGCATGGCCGGCGACAATAGGACTTTGTGCCGTCACAGACTGAGCTTCAAGTCATATCTACTGTGTGCCTATACTTCGCCAATGACACAATATGCACTTCTTTCTAAAAAGTTCATATCAACCCACAACAACAGTTTTAAGTATGGTTTAACCAAAAATTTCAGTATAGAGGAAGTAATAAATGAAATCTGTGAAGAGTACGAGCATTAGTACTATTAAAACGCATCTATCAATTAAACGTAAATAATGAACGTTCAATCATTTCAATTGTCGAGTAATAACTCAGCAGCAGTCGAAATATAATATTTTTCAATATTGAATTGTATGTGCTTTTTTGAAGCAATTTCTTTACTCATATTTTAAATGTAATTGAAATAAAATCCTGATCAACAAACTTATTCCTGTGGTTTTAACGCCCTTTATTTATACCTTAATGACTTGAATAAGTTGATAGTCAGTTGACTTATTAAGTAAGTTTAACAATATATGTGCTGGCTACGTACGGTAATCAGTAACGACAGTTTGTAAATAAAGGTTCACGACCACTGAACAAGATACAACCCAACAGAAAAAAGAACGGACATTGATTTATTACAGCCGAACATTCACTAACGACCTCTGCTGTTCGTACACTCAATATCATAGAAGATATCATTCCTTAAATAAAGATCACCTGTGTGGATACAGGCGCGTGAACTATTAAACATTATTGAAGATAAAATAGCCGGCTTAGTAGCACAGCACTGACCGCTTTGGAGCCGGCAGGGATGATTGCACCGTGCTGTGGCATCGACACAAACACGGTGTTGGGCGGCACTGCTGCAATACTAGTGGCAGTGATGGCGTTGCTGCTGTTATTGTTGTTGGTGCTGTTGCTGGTGGCAGCATCCATGCCAGTGCGCACCCTGAATCGCAATTCTTCAGACCTGTAACAACAATCCAACTTGAGATTACTGAAGCGAAAGTTCGATCATAAACATCTCCAAAATTTGAGATAAACGACAAAACTTTCTTCGAATCACTAAAAATGAAATCAACTCACAACTTTTTAATCAGAAATAAAGAGCTTAGAAAGATGAACATCAGAGTTTGATCTCTGGTTTTCAAATAGGCTTAATGCATTTGAAGAAGATAGGTCAATAAATTAATTGAGATTACTACCCGTCAAACTGTAGTCATTGGAGCAATGAGCCTGCATGTTGTCTCCACAGATGAAAGAGTTCAAGAGTTTTCCATCTTTTTGATTTGATAATAAAACCAAATGCGAAGATTTGTGTTGTAATGAGCATGTTCACGCATCTTTATTCCGTGCATTGCCGTATCAAGGATACCTTAATAGCAACATAAAAAAATTCAGTGAAGACGTTAACGAAAAAGGCTGTAAAATAAGAGAGCATTACAGTGCATTAGTTGGTTTAAATACGAGTTCAAGCTCTGTAACATCCTTTTAAACGCAAAATAGCTGGCAATAAGTTACGGTTACGATAAAAATATTAACATTACCGAATAAGCACTAGAAAGATGCCATAAAACTGGCCAGGGTTTAAATGTTACATGTATATCGAGAACAACTAATACTATAAACTGTAAGAAAAACACTTAATGAAACAATTTTTACTCACAACGGAGCTCATATATGAATTTCATACTTAAAAAAAAATCATTGCACAAAAATTAACCGAAGTTTGGAACAACTCTCATGAGATGCAAGCAGGGACAATACTTCATGGGCATCATTTGTTAACATCTGTTGTTAGAGAAGACAAGCATATCGAGAATAATTCTCATTGCTAGCAGCCAAAGAGAGCAACTACAGGGACAAATAAGCTAAAAATGAAAGATATTACATGAACATAACAAAAAAACAGATTATCAAAATGATGCTCATTTACCATTCGTAAAAAATGAGTGGAAATTTATTTTTTTCTGACATAATAATTGAAAACTTAATTGTATATAATTTCCTAAATATTAAACCAAGAATGGAGGGTTGAGACTGAAGGCTAAACGTGACACGCCAACCAGCGGGAGGTGAGGAGGCTCGTCAATTATGAAGAGGAGGGAGAGGGGGAGCGAACATACGGTCGTGCGTCACAGATAGGAACTGATGACGTCATCAAAACCCCCAGCGGGATAGCACTCCCCTCTCCCCCTCACCCTTCTGGGAACGATTTGCTTTCGTAGCGAGGTTCAACTTTCATGCGGCGGCGAGTGATGCAAGAGTGTCATCAGTTTTTGGATGGTCTACCTGCTACCAACTCACTGCTGGAGTGACGCAATAAGGAGAGATCGCCTAGAATCCCCTAGATGATGAGATAATTTTCTCCATGGACACGAGCTTAGTATAACTCATGAAACAGCAGATGCGTATGAAACTAATTCATAATTATAGATTTTAATTCGTTTTAAGAACACCCTCTTTCGATTAAATTCCCTAACATAGAAATCGGACACTTCCACACAGACATATTAGGGCTTCTTGCGGATGACTGCTATGGAAATAACATCATTTATCTTAAATTTTTGTCCCAAAATGACTTCCCTCGAGCCGATCAAACTTCCATTAAAATAATCAATTAATTAGAAGCTATAAGAATTGTTTAAAAATTATTTAATCGTCACATTTTCCTATTACGGAGAGCTACATAGATGACAGTACTATTGGTATAGACATGACGTCACCGCGACATCGACCTGTTGCACGAAGCAAGATTAAGCCGCGCCAAACATCAACTTCTAAACCACCACTAAAAACCATCAATGTTGAAGACGCTGTCGAGGCGATAAGAGCAATTTGCCTTTGCGATGAAATAGCAACTCAAATCGCGCACAACTCTAAAAAACAATGCATGGAAACAAACTGAAAGAGCGATAGGAATTTCCAGGCTTCCTGGATATGAGAATTTCTTCTGATGTAAATCGTGTCCGCAGTTATGCAATTTGAGTGATCAATCAATGTTGAAGAAGTAACGTAATCAAATTCAGATTCGTTATCGAAGTTTTCGCATAATAAAAAATAAACATCCTGGTGGGTCGCTGAACAAAATGCGTTCAATCATTCAAAGCATATTTTGACCTTGTCTCGAAGTGGCATTTTATTTATTCAATTTTCATTCAAATAAATAAAGACACAAGGCAGCAATTAAAAAATTTAGTCTCATTCTTTAATCTCAAAAAGAAACTTTAAATGTGCAGCATCAACAACAATAATATTTGTGCAGGCATGAAATGATTCGTGTATTTTGCACGTATAGATGCATAACCGCACCTTCATATATGAACATATCTTAGGGTACAAAGACAAGAAATAACTGAGCGATGATGTACAATCTGTCGTGGCATCTCATGGGACGAAATTTGATGGAATATAAGTAAATAACGTCATTTTCCTAAACTAAAAAACGTCATTTACAACGGTTTGAACCATTGCTTATTATATCAGTTCGGTCTCGACAATTCTTGTTAATAAAGTTAAGACTTGTTGTACTATATAAATTATTGTGCGTATTAAGTCATCTATTCAGTCACGATACGTTTTCAAACAATATCGTTGGCCTGGAACTGGAACAATAATATAAACATGTATAAATTAGGTGCTTGTAAAGGTAATGCTGGTGATTTTGCATCATACGAAATAGAACATTAGCGAAATTTTTATGGAAGTGATACAATATAACAGAACAACAAATAACACGGCTCACGACGATACGATAAAAAATGTCACGTGTCACCTGTTACCATCATGAGATGTTCAGTGATTAAAAGTAAGTTTTATCAATGACTCGAAAATATTCAGTTGTTCATGTATGTTTCCGGCAAATGTCATCTACAATAAATAGCTTACATGATAACACAAAATGAAACGTCGCCGTTGCTAAATACAGAAATAGCAACTTTCCAGAAATTTATTTGCACAATGGAGGCCACTACATGGAAGCCCCGCGATCGGATGTCGATATGCCTGATGTTTTTTTCAAGATCGTGGGAGCAAGAATGGCTGAATTACCATGACGTGAGGCTCGTTGAGTGCCCCATAAGATAAGAGTAGAGCTGCTGGTTATCTTATCACGACACGAATGGCTACACCTCCGGCAAGTGTTAACCGACCATTGCCATCCAAACATCACACTCTACAATTCTTGCGACATCACAAAATCCATAAACCAGTCCAACTTCAGGTTTATGACACTAACGACCAATTACTGACGATTAAATCGATTTGAAATCATCAATACGATTTGGTTTAACAGAAACTTCTAATTTATCAACAGTTAGTATAGTCGGCAGCTGTCAAGATCTTTGGATTACCCAGTCGATTTCGGATGATAATTAGCTGATGGATTACAAAAATCATAGTTGGATGTTAATACATTGCATTAAAATATAGAGCTCATGAATTATTTCAAGTTCATTCTGCATTTCGCGTTTTTTCCACAAGGCGACAGCAAATATACAATACAAAATAATCGAGGAATAAGCGTCTGATTCGTATGTATATACTCGAACCTTTCACAGGTCCTTGACGATTTGAGAAGAATTAAACACATCCCACTGTCAGTCACCTAATAGTTATATTCATTATAAGTTGACTGTCTAAGTCAGAAAAACGTACCTGACAGTTACTTAATTAAGCTTCTGAATACGCGATTACCACGAAAGAACATTCGATTCGCCAGTAAATACGTATCTATTGCGAGCCGAAACTTTTTTGTTTATTCTGCAGGTACACCGAATATCTCCGAGACCGTATAAAATACACTTCTGGCAACGGACTGTTAAAAAGCTTCATTGCTTATTACCAGGTTAAACTGATGTACGGTACAATATACATTCCATCAGGTGAAGTAGACATTTACATGTACAATTACTTTGTTTTTGAGATCGATTTGTATATTGTGAGTCGAATCCAATTAAAACGTATATAATCGAAAATTTGATTGTTTTATATTTTTTTATTTGACCTCTTTTCAATTACTTAAGCAACCCCAGAGAATATAAAAATTCATATCGTGTCGAAATCATGATTATCGTGGTAACATACTGATGGGATTGATATTGTGGAAACATGCTCGTATATAACAAGTATGTATTCAGTATTCTAAGATCTCGCATCAAAAAACACAAACACACCCTACGCAATATATATAATTTTTACATTTGAAAGTCACTCAATAAGAATCCAGTAAATGATTCCAAACTGAAATGAATATGAATTCATAAATCATAATTAATTAATTACCCCTTCAAACCAACATCTTATGACAGAGCTTGCGAATTTGATGCATGTTGCCGTATACCGGTACGGGCTGTTATAGAGCACGTATCCACGATACTTATCTAACCGCCATATTATCTGGACCTGAAAATTTTTTAGTGGGAGAAGGGACTGGATCAAAACTGGGAGGAAGGGACTGGCTCAAAAAAAAAATTTTTTTTTCGACATTTAAATTTATTTACGATCACACAATAATTTTGTTTTCTACTGCACGGGCTCCATCAATGTTCCAACAGATACTACTTCCTTTCCCTGCATACGACGGCAGAGGGCAGTCACTGTGTACCAGCCTTGACCGAACTTCCTTTAGGATATCCATGCAGCGAGCGTGGCCGTTTCCGCGTAGACGCGCAGCACTCTCTCATGAAGGCGTGCATGCCACAACAAATACTGTAATACATGCGCTTTATTGACATCTCTAACACAGTGTGGTATGTACCATTACTAGTATCACTAATAAACATCACTAATAGCACACATATAGCTTTACTTAAAGGTATCGTCAGCCCAAAAGTTGCATAGAGTCGCACCGTGTAAGTGTCGAAATGGTAATTCCCAGCAATTCTGTATGACAGAGAACATTAAACAGTCTGTACTTAAAGAGTCGCACATATCTAGTCGATTAGATTAATTTCTGAGAACACAAATTTGAACCGGTAAATACACACAAAATAGATTATAAATAATAGGATTTTTGACATAATATAAGGTACAACACAAAAATAACAAATACATACAAGAACAAGTCAAGTGAATAGATGATATTAAGGCTGAGGTAGAGATTTATATTCACGTACAGGCTGTCATTCATGAGTTCCATCAAAACGAAAGAACGGGGGATGAAATAGACAGAAAGGAGCATCCAAGTTATTGATCATTGTCCCGTCAGTCGGATTATCATAGAATAGAGACGTGATAATACGACGTGAAAGCTTAACAGCAGGGGACACACACAAGGAGACTCTTGCTGACGTCTTCTCTTGAAATAGAGTGAAGTCTTGATAGGAAAGGCAGGTAATTGGACCGTCTGGACAAAAATTTATCGTCAGAGTTCATTTGATCATGAAATGAGCAGCAGTTCAAATAATGTGATTACTAAATAATTTGCAAGTCAAGCAGTTTGTATAATTCCGGTTGTTAGTATAGCTGACCAAGCGATGTAAAGGATAAAAACTACGTATTGCCACTGCACAACGATTGATGATAAGCGCACTCCAGGCCATGTAAAGGTCGAGTCGAATACAATAAAAAACACCGATGTCGTCCCTCAGTCAGTTAGTTATCCACTATTCCAAACGTAACCCTCGGGTATTTGTGTCTAGAAGGTACGGTGGTCGGAAAAGCTCACGATTCATTTTTTTCAAAGGGTTAGTTATTCGAGAAAAATCTACCATCTGGCTCCGTTGATTCGTGGAAATTCATGCGAAGTGAAGGATTTCGCGAGCTATGGATGGCGAATGCTACGTATTGACAGATACTGTGGACAGAAGGTTTAGTGATAGAATGACCTGGTATATCATTTCAATAGGTAGTTCCAAATTACAGAGCACGACATTTAGTTGCTGAACATTTTCCGTGTAAGAAAACTTCGCGCATTCGGGATCACAATTAAGCACGAGACTAATTGATACAGCGAGACTCTTGCAGTTGCAGCAACAGAGCAAAACTTCGTATGGTTTGCTTGTCCTTCGAACTATTGGTCCCCGAATTTACGCTTTCATTAAATAAGTAATCTGAATACTAGTAGTGAAGATACTCCACTGTTGTGCCGTACTGATAGTATCGAAAATTGCTAATAGTCTTAAAAAAGGTTTTCGCCTTTTACTTATTATAACTTATTAAAATAATAAAACGTGCGAATAGCTAAACTGAAGCCCGGATGTCCGAAAAACGGATAACTTACTCACCGCATGACATTCAATAAGTTCTCTCTCGTCTCTCCTATAAAGGTATTCAACGCTTATGCAGCTGCGCTGGCGTGCCACATGTTTGGTAGACGTTAAAATTCATCAATTGTTAGCTCACCGTTCTCTCGTATAACTAACGTTTCAATCTTTACAATATCAAATTTAATCTCCCATGAAATGAAGCCTTCTAGCCTCTAGGTGACAGTCTGGTCAAATTTTCAGTGACAGCCGTGGCTCTAAGTGATTTATCACGTCTAATGAGCTTAGCGAAGCTTATTCATGTTTTACCAAAAATCTCATTAGAACAGTTGAATAAGAAAGCAACTTGCGCAGAATAGTGAAAATCACAATAAATTATTAATTACTATTGGCAAGTCTTCTATAAATAATTTGTGACGGTAGAAGTAGTAACTAAATTTTGTTCGGTTTAATCCATTGGTCTCCGACTGACTGAACAAATTGCGTTCCAATGGCGCGAAATGCTTCCGAGTGCCTGTCTATGCAAAATTGCAAACTGATCACAGCCCACACTCCCACAGGCATATCTAATGATGTCATTAAGATATGTCAAAGAAAGAATTTTAAAGCATTAAATGCTATGGAATATATTTGAATACAAAGTTATTTTTGTTAAACAGAGAACTAGAGATAAACACGAAGCAGCAAATGACTCACACCTTACTTCCATAGTTAGACGAACGCTAATTCGTAAAAATCATCCGATCGGACACGCTACGCCACATAATTTCTAATTAGATAAACTTTAAGGATTTTCAGAATGATTTTAGGTCGGGTTATGAACTTATGATATTTATTATTTAGCAACGCTTAAATAACATTCAAAGTTCATTAGCTGAAAAATTTGATCAGGCAACATGCACATGCAGAAATGATTCTCTTCAAGGTCATCCATGATCTACTGTGGCTCGCAACTTCCGCCATCTACGGCTGGTAGATCCTTCTAACGTAGGACGGGAACCTTCGAGTGACACAACGATTGAAGACAACCTACCTTATGGTTACGTCGATGATAGACCCGCTTCCCAGTGGAGGTGGCGAGGCTACGTCAAGCCGCACGTCAGAGCTACGACACACTGCGTCACGATCCGCTGACGCCAGCCTCTACTGGTTTAGTCGAAAAATAGCGTTCAAATTCAGAAAGGTTCGCTCAACACCTACACATTCTGGATTTTTAGGAGCTCATAAGCATCTTCTTCTGATGTAAATCTTTATATACTGCGTGTCGAATGATATCATTTGCTATTTGTATCCGAAATTTTCATGTCAAACAAATAAAGCAAAGGCTTTTGAATTTTCTTTCAAGAGGAGCACGTTATTTTTCCTAGAGCGTTTGTGTTGGTCGATTACGTATACAAGAGATACGAAAATTTATGAATGAGTACGAATTTATACAGACCCCGACACAGGTCTCTCAGCAAACCTACTCTGCTTGTATGGAGCTTCGTGATTGGCTACGGTTTGAAGCTACATCTACGTGATTGGTTGAATCGATAGTACTATTCCGGAAAGATGACGTCATCTTTGAGGAGTCATATGGATATGGATCTACTTCTAGTGAAAAAATTTGTCCGTTGTTATATAGATTAACGCAAAAAATTATTCACGCAAATGAACTGTTATTTTGTAGGCACTTATAATGTGTCAGTATTTCTGCTTGCTACATGAGCTGTTTCATCTCCGATATAGAATTAGGGAAATTACTTGTTAGAATGGCTATCCCATTCATTCCTCTGCTCACGTTAAGATAGCTGATAATTAATTGCTTTACTCCAATTTTTAATAATCAATGGTCCTCGAAAATTGAGCGTTCAACAAAAAAAAAAAACACAGAGATATTGAGATGCAACAAAATTTATAAGTTCAACAATATAATAAAACGCTTGATGGAATCGCTCTCATTATAATGTAAAATCATTCTAATACATAGCTGAATATTTTTTTATAAGATTCAAGGTCCAAACATTATTGCTCACGAACCGGTAATCGTATTAGGCCATAAAAGACTGTAAACCATTAATATGTCTTAGATATTATCTATATCAACTAATATTGATGACAAACTCAAACAAATTCTTCATCTTCAAGCATTTGTCACACCGCAATGCTGCTACATATCTCTACTCCATTCTATCCTATTATTATTTTAGGCATCCTATTGAATCCTAGCTTGACACCAGGAGAAGTCGGCACATATTGGGATAACGCTAATAAAACAAACTAGTGAAAATACATTTATTTTCTATAAATTAACAAAAGAATGACTAGAACCGTTGCATAAGCCACAAATTGTCTGATACATCTTGAGCGGATGTACAATAAAAAGCAAAGAACAAGAACAAAGGAGAGAGAACTTCCATTCAAATAACTCAAAACATAAACGACTACTGTTCTGAGAAGCATTCAATAACCATCACAATATGATACAACGGCCACCACGTGTTCAGATGGTGCAATATAGTGTAGTGATGCATGCTGGAAGTAATGCCATATAATGTAGAGATGTTATGCAACATATAACCAGGTAATGAGTGATGTCAGTAAACAGCCTGGCTCGAGGAAAAGGTAATTTGGCCAATGGTAGAACTAATATCATTAGTTAAACTAAGATTTGGCCAATCGAAACACCAGATAAATGTACAGGCATTGACAATATTTATAGATATTGTGTAACCTTTAAAGTTGTTGAACGTTTGAAAAGGTACAACAACTCTAAATAAAAACATTATAACAATGTTGGTATACTTAACAAAAAAATATATTGTAACGTACTTCTAACTATAAAAAAAAAACCAACGGCTGCAAAATTATCAAAATGAACAAAAAGGTCGCTTGAGTTATTTGACAGGGACAAGAATCATTAATAATATACCTTGTGTATCAATGTTGAAAACCAAGTTTTCAAAAACGTGAGAAAGCATCAAGTGTTCACGAACAGTTTCGATTCACAAACAGTTTTTTTATTCTGAATATGACGTGGAATGTCGTTTCCATGGTTTCTTTTCAGGTAATGAGAGCAATCTTTCATTCACATATAAAATATAGTCGAGATTTTAAATAACGAATTTGAAATTCTCTCACGGAAAAATATACTTTATTCCAAAGCTAGAATTATCGAGTGAAGTAAGATTATGAGATTAAAATTTGAAGTTAGACGTACAAGGACCCATCAGCAGGACCCAGGTATCTGATGGCGATGAGGATGACGTCTATGATGGTCCACACGCCAAGACCTCCGAAGCTGAACAGCTTGCCGATGCCTTCTTGCCAATGTCCCAAGTAGAACCTGACAACACCAACATACATTTGGGCAGAATTTTTTAAAACTGCACTCAAATTTTATATCAGGGAGGTGAAAAAGATATTTTTGGGTGACCATCTAGAGTTTACGTTTTTTCCCTATCATAAATATCTGAAAATATCAATAAACTACAGATCAAACCAAATATTTCTCAGTATTATCAATAGTTGCGGATAATGAGTGGAAATGCAAGTGGAAATTTGACCAGAAGAAGAACGAATGAGTGAGAACCACAAATGGCAGATATGATCATTGAAAAGATGTACCTGTCAGCGCCGAAGCCACCCAGCGTGATGGAGAGGAAGAGGGCAGAGCTCCAGTGATAGCCTGAAGTCCAGTTGCATTCACGCCTCTTCAAGAAGTTACGCCGCCCAAGGCACACAACATCGCGTCCCACCGTGCAATTTGATCTGCAAATAAGTTGATTGTACTGGAACCAGCTAATACTGTTTGCAACTTTATCTTTCTATAGAGTCTCACGTTTTGTTTGATTTCCTTTCAATATGCAAATGTTCCTTCCGAATAGTGTCATTGCAAAAGAATAATTTATCATGTTTTATTTTAGATATTTAAAATAATAGAAAGAGTACGGTACATTGCAGATAAAATTTCCTCAGAACTATGTTGGTAACATTAAAAAAATTTAAAAACTTTTTGACTTCGATATACCTCGAAAAATGAAACTAGGAGTATTTTCTAGTCAGCAAAATAAAATCTTTGAAGCTTCTGCAGAAGCATCTCACTCTGAATAATATTTGTTTATTGCTTGTGGAAAGTCTCAAATATCCATCCGACTAACAGGCACATAGCGTAAACATATCTGAGTGTTGAGTCATTCTGGATGTTTAAATAAACAGGAATTTAGATAGCAAAACTAGAGCATTCTTGCACTCTGTGGTAGAGGCTGGTGTATGAGAGATTAAACATGGAACAAATGTACCCAGTGTGCCTCGCAACGATCCTATACCAGTAGTTGGTTAATTCAGGCCCAGTGAACGGCTATTTAGAACAAGTGTCATACGTATGACACTTAATAAGAAAATCACATTTAAAGCCTACTGACATAAAAAGCCCTTTTCAGGTTAATGGTTGGAAGAAAGTCAACATGGAAGCAGCTATAATCAATGGATAAGACTGATCATCTGACTTTGATTTTTAATGGCAATAGTTCCGATAGAATGGAAATAGCTCAGGTGCCTTGTCTCATTGATGTACGGAAATTCATGCACAATTGCTTACGTGTACAGCGGCCGAGGTGTGTCAACTGAGTTACATTTGCTGTAGCCCGTACAGAAGTGCTGCCACTCCTCCGTTTGGTAGCAATACTGACACACCATTTCTTTCACAACTTCATGGCCAATACTTCCTGTACCACCCTGTAATACAATAAACTTTCACTTAAAAGGAAATAAAATCATATGATATCTACAGCAGTTTCAAAATACTACCAAAGTGCTTCTTTTATTACATAAATAACATGAAAAAAATGTACCCTCAATCATCAAGTAGTTCATATCCTTGATATTCCTGCATTTGTAATAAAAATATCGCAGTCAGGCCTAATTAGATAATATCCTGAGGTGATAAGCACTGAAGCAGAAATTGTACCTTACAGGATTAATAATAAATAGAAGCAAACTGGCTGAGAATTTCCCTTTTTCCATAATAACTCACATTCCGAATTTAAGCAGATGAATTAACAGAACAGTAACAAAACAATCACATTTCAAAAGTATAAATTTTAACTGCAAAGAAATCAGGTTATTTAAAATCAGTAGCTCAATTTTTAAATGACTTTAGAGAATGTTAATGAAGTTACACTGACTGGGGTACAGGAGACTTTGGGCTTTGGTCTGCAAGTCACATTGAGCTTTTCTCCATAAACACAAGTGCAGTTGAAGTTGCAGAGCAAGCAGTCAGCAGGCAAGTCACTGCACTTCACAGCCGTGTCTGAACTGCTGGTCCCTGAAGTGGGGCAGTTGTCAATTGACTCATTATGAGGGTCCTGGAAAAAAATCATTAGAAACAGCTCAATACAAGAAGAGTTATTTATGAAGATTAATAATAAAAAACTTGAACAACAGACACAAAGCACATCTATAAATAAAATTACATACAGTGCAGTTGAGTGGCAAGCATGAGGCTGGCTTAGAAACTGTTGTTGTGGGAGCATCAACTTGATTGGCTTCAAGGGCTTCAGGAGATGATTTGCCTCGGACATCACTATCTCCACTGCTGCTGCTTCTAACTCCTGCAAAATCACAAATTAAGTACAAAGTTTCTTCATTTTTTTCAAGGATTTTAAATCAATGCATTATTATATGCCATTATCTATTTAGCAGTTAATTATGTTCATATTATTTTTGGTATAAAGTGGAAGGAATTAAAGCCAAAGAATTAGAACTAGTATATTGAATTAAAGCTCATTAAATTCTCTAACATCAGCAACTAACCTGATGCTGCAAAGGTGAGTATGAAAAATAATGTTGTGACAGATTTGTTTGAACACCAAACCATAATAGCAACTTTTTTTGCCCCAGCTAAACAAATGCTTATATTTGAATATCTTATAGTTTTGTACCCTGGAATACTGGATGGAGAAAAGAGAGATTGAATAAATGGTTGTCAGCCTGGTTAAAAAAGCAAAACCGCTATTTTATTTACACAAAAACAATAAAGTGTACAGCTCCATCTCCAACAAGCTAAACCATGAAGCAGGAAATGTGTAATGCAAGATAACAAGATTCAATTGAAAGATTTTATAGACTTTGACAAATGACTACAATTTACAAAAATTCCATTATTTGCTTATGACTAAGAAAGAACATTAAGTCATCAACAAACAGAGAATTAGCTGCCACAAATGACATGTAGGTTTCCATTTAATAGATGCTGCACTCACTTTGCTGCTTGTCAATAAAAAAAAAACATATAATACTGGTTAGAAATTATAATTTGTTGGGTTAGATTACCACATAAAAACAATGTTTTTAGCGCATTTTCTCATTTATGAAAAAAATGCACTATTGTGCTTGCTATGTCCATCTGTCTGTCTGTCTGTCTCTCCGTCCGTGTGTACGTAATCTCAAGTTTTCATCAACGAGAAAATGCGCTCTCTGTCACTCACTGCAGTGAGTACTGAGTTATATTTTTTCAATCATGCTAAAAAGTTGTGGTTCAGTTTGTTTACCTTATGAATTGTTTCATACATACATAAAATAAATTAAAAAGATATGAAACTACTTAAAAACAATTTTTTTTATACAGGCAGTGTAGAATTTTCCAGGGTCTTAAATTAACCAGTACACAGAGCATATTGGAAAGGCCATCACACAAACCAATCACAGTCACAGGAGAAGATGACATCACAAACAATCACAGCCTGGAGAGGATAGCATTGCAATCACAGCCTAGAGAGGATGATATCACAATGCCACAAACAATTGCAGTCTGAAGTGGATGACAGCACAATCCCATCAACCAATCACAGTCTGGAATGGATGACATCACAATCCCACAAGCAGTTGCAGTCTTGAGTGGATGACATGACAATCCCTTTAACCCATCACAGTCTGGAGTGGATGACATCACTATCACAGAAACAATTGCAGTCTGGAGTGGATGACATAACAATTCCATCAACCCATCACAGTCTAGAGTGGATGACATCAGAATCACAGAAACAATTGCAGTCTGGAGTGGATGACATGACATTCCACCAACCCATCACAGTCTGGAGTGGATGACATCACAATCCCAGAAGCAATTGCAGTCTAGAGTGGATGGCATCACAACCCCACCAACCCTTCACAGTCTGGAGTGGATAACATCACAATCCTGCTAACCAATCACAGTCTGAAGTAGATGACATCACATTCCCACATGTGGTGGCATTCTAAATGCCTCTGAAATTTACATGTACCTATGAATGTAGGAGCAAAGTGCCCAAAATAGGAAAAGGAGCAGAGCGCGCTGAAAAGGAAAAGAAAAGGAGCGCATAGCCTCCAAAAGGAGCGGAAGGCCCCAGACAAGTGCACTACCACACTGCAGCCCAAATGACTTGGCATTTCCTTAACAATTAGCACTCTATGCTAATGTGCCCTTGAATTGCACACTTCAATACTGCCCTTGAATTGTAACCATGAAGTGTGAAGTACTCTTGTCATCCTGCTGTAGCTAAATGACCACCTATTTACTGGAATTCCACCATGTTCCCACAATCAATCAGTCTGAAGAGGATGCAATCACAATACCAACAAAACACAGTATGGACATGTCATGCATGTGCCTATAAATGACAAGCTTTATGCACTATATCCTACAATTCCTGCCTGGCTATGTTGATATTATTGGTAATAGGCATTGATGGTATACTACTCAGTAATTACAAAATGGAGGTGCCATTATGGTATTAATAATTTTAGAATTGTATTCTAACTGAAAAAAATTTGCATGCTAGAAACTAGAGCAATAAATAATTAGTTGCATAAAATAAGGACATAAGGCAGGTCATTCCTTGCCTGTCACCTTGAAATTATAGGAGATTAAAACTCAAAATTGTGGAAAATGATTAGGCCATTGCTAACTACTGGGCTGAGACTCTGAGTAGCATTGAATCAGACCAAAATGGACTGTTACGGACATTTACAATGCATGAAGAATAATAAAATGTAATTATTATAAATAATAAAATTATTTATTCCCAGTATAAATAATAAAATGGTTATTTATTCTTAGTAGGCTAATCACAAGGCCTGGCATGCAGGCCACGGTCACATGGCCCAGTGAGCCCACTCCTTGCCCCTGGTACCACCAGTGCTAGTAGTTGACAGTTAGTATGACCAGAATTGTTGAGTTGGAAGCTTTGTTATTGCCTTATGTCATTGCAGGAGGACCTTTAGGAAGGTATCTCAAATTCTTGATATCAGTCCATCACTCTTTGCGCAGGAGGCGGAGGAGGGTTGCTAACCTACATCCATAGCAATCTTCAATTCAGGGAGCTCACCAACTTCCAAACTTATATTAATGGAGCAGAGAGATCTGTAGTGGAAATAAGAGATGGAAGGAACTTCACATTGAGAACTGGTGCAGTTATTAGTTATTCATTGGAATTTTGCATTAGAATTATGCTTGGCTTTGGAATTTACTTTACATTAATGATTTTACTTCCTTGTCTGGACTAGAGAAGAAAAACCGAAAAATTACATAATGAGAAAAACACAGCACAGACATTAAATAAACGAGCATGAAAGCCAAAGGGTTGGGCTAAAAAGCAATATAGCTCCCCCTGCAACACCGGAGGGGGGTGGGCCTGGGCGGCACTCAGTCGAGTGACGTTGTGGTGATCATCATCATCATCATCATCATCATCACTCTTTGCGCAGAGCTGAGCAGTATTGATCGCCTACAGATGTTGTATCAGCTAGAATTGTTGACAACTTCTTCCCAAAGCTGTAAATCTAGGATGTGCAACTTCTGACAACTTGGCAAGCAGCCCATGATTCCAAAGCTATGTTGGCTACTAATTACATAGATGAGAACAATACCGTTACCGTACATAGTGGAAAATATGTGGTAGTGCTTAATCTTTAATATAAAAATCTATATGAAGTTGGAAAATGAATTGTATAAAAAATTACATGGTTGAGGTATTAAGCAGCTATTCCATATGGCAATTGGACCGATTTTTAAGATTTGAAAATATCTACCCTAATTGCCACAAACTTCTCCACAGCACTTCTGTCACCTGCTTCCAAGAGAAACAATTTATTTATGTTGTTGACAAAAACAAGTCTCAACTTTGGAACTTTCTAGTGCAATCAAAAAAGATTCTTAGTTATTATGTGGCAATTGAACCCTACAGACGATAATTCTGATCAGTGTTACACAGCTTTTATTGATGAGCATTGAGTGGCAAGTCAAGTGCAGGTGCAGTAGGAGTTGCTGTCCTGCTGAGAGCCTGAGTGCATAGTGTTAAAGCAGAAAATTTTTATGACTTTTCCTTTGGTTTATTTTCAAATCCTACATGTACCAGCTATTGCATTTCATTTTAAAAAATCCATATGCTATTTGTACGATGCCATCTGGACGCAAATAAAAGCGTCCTGAATTACCCCTAAGAATGGGGTAATCTGGGACACTTGAAATAAAACTAGATTTTAAAACATTTTAAGCATGCAGAGTGTACTCATCCATTACTAACAGCCGGGTTGGTGATTTTTTTGATTTAAAAAAAAATCCAAAAATTCAAAAATCAATGATTTTTTTATTTCACTTAAGGTTTTTTTTATTTATTTGATTTTTTATTTTTTCAGCTTTTTTGTCTTTTTGAAGTGTTATTTTTTATGTTGCAATTAGCCTACTAACAATAGCAGTAGTATATGGACGTTTCTGCTATATATAGCAGCAACTGCAGTCGATAAAACGCAATGCGTAAGTTCAGCGCTTAATCTGCACACGTTAGCTGTAGTTTACCTGTAGAGAGTGACTCAACATACACTACCGTAAAATGGGGTAACTTAGACCACTTTTTTTTTCATAAATGATGCCATTTTTTTACTAGCTAAATTAAACTTGAATTGAAACATGTAAAATACAGGTCTATACTCTAGCTTCACTCACCATAAATTGCTGGCTCCTGCCTCTCATAGATATTAGATATGCAAACTTTTCAAATCTTTCTATTGTGTTATGTAGCCTCAGTATTAGGCCTTTAATGCCCATTGACAAAATTTTTCTATGTCAAATAGTTTTCGAGTTGTGGAGGTTTTTGTTAAAAAAACGAAAAGTGGTCTAAGTTACCCCGCCGGTCTAAGTTACCCCATTTTATGGTATTAATTAGTGCGTGACTCAGCGTGAGTAATAGTTAAATCTCTTATTTCCAATAGGATGATTTGCTTCCATTAGAAGTTAATTTGGATGTACAAACATACCCTAAAAACAATTTGGGGCCAGGCCTGAATCTGCCACAAGTCCCTCTAGGCCTCAGTGAACACGTAATTCAGAAGCTCTCTACCCTGCAAAACTGGCATGAAACGCTGTCCTTAGGCTACTTGCAAATTTATTATTACCCAGCCAAGCCAGTAATTGTCATACACCCAGGAATATTTGAAGTCCTCGAAAGTCAGAGATGGTATTTTAACCCGTCTCTAATTTCGAAAGCGTTTTAAAGTAAGCACAGAATAACTCTGAAGCGAATGTTGCGACCCCTTGCGCAGAAGACTTGGCGTTGCCCTATTTTTGTCAGGATAACAGATTAGCCCAAAGCCAAAATTTTATTTACACCTGACGTTAACACATAAGATATTTAAACGTCCATACCTAGTTTTTTTCCTGGTACTTCCGTAAAACAACATATTTGAGAAATTATTGTAACAGCTGACCTACTGTCAAAACTCGTTGAAGTACGCCTAGCGGCTGATTACTAGTCAGTGATTGGTGGGTTCAGCTTGAAAAGCCGTCAGTAATTGGCAAACATAATTGAATTTTATGAATATTTTTGTTATTGCGGTCTCAGGCTACAGATATTTTGTTGGTACAGACTTAATGATGAGCGCTATGCAAGAAAGTCTGAAACGTTATCAGGAAGGCTCAGCCGTTGCGCTGGATCGAATTGCTCTAAGAGAAAGCATCTTTTCAAAGCCCAGTTTACAGCCCGACGCAAAAGGTTAGCCCCACCCCTTTAAAACATCATAACACATCGAGTTTTGCCAGTTTTAACGTGCAAATGGTGGCAAACGAATCGTCTTGGTCTCAGTAATCTATAGCAGGTGAAATTTGATGAAAAAGTTAATTACTGGCGGAAAAATCAAGCAGTCCGTGTTTTTTGCACCAACGCAAAAGGTTAGCCCCACTTTGCAGTTTGGCACTCTTGCGGACAGGACGCAGCGTAGA